TTGTTACACTTCTCGGTCAGGGCGAACCTTTCTGAGGCATAGCTGACTATGATGGTGGTCATTGTTTTAAGCCTGCTGTCAGCATCTCTTTTGGCTACAGCTTGTATGATGTTGGAGAGATCCTCATCAAACTTCTGCCACTTGCTCCAACTGCTGGCTTAATCCGCTGTTGTGGAACTACACTGCTTGGATTGGAAGACTCTGGTGTGTGGAGGGACTGGGCTCTGTGAGGTGCCTCCTGGCCAGACTCCTCCTGCATCTCACCAGGTTCAGGACCTGTGCGTTGCACCTCACTTTCCCACTCCAAACATTACATTCTGGCTTGATTGACCTTTAGGCCACGCTGGTTCTTACACGCCTTGCCGCAGATGCATGTCTTACTCATAGTCCTTTCCGTTGCGTTGGTCATTAACCTTGAGTTCGTCCAATTGGAGATCTCATTCTCCCCCCCTGTCGGGATCTCCCGGGGGTATCTCTCTTTAGGGCTTTATATGTATGTTTCTAGAGATTTGCCTTGTTATTCTACCTCATTTGGAAAGCATCAACTGCTGTTGTTTTTAAATGTGCCATATAAAGCGACTTGACTTATCATACTGTCACACTTACCTTCGTATTTCTCTGTTGCAGGAGGAGACCAAGGGATTTTGAATGGCTTCTTTAGCAACTGGGCAACAGCTGACATATCAAAACATCTCCCTTTCATTTACAATCTCAGCAGCATAGCCATCTACACTTACCTCCCAGCATTTAAACAGTAAGTGTCTGCTAAGCACACTTAAACTCATGGAGTAATTATGAAATGCTTAAAGTCACAGGTGCAGTTTAAAAAAATTATGTGACCAAACTCTATAAGATACTATATTTACCTGCTACCCTGGGAAATTCATATTACGCAACAGCAGTCTGTCCATGTGACTAAAATCTTGTGTCTTGGATACAAAGCCAAGATGTAAGTAGATACCTGGTCACATGAATGCGTATTCACATCGTGACATGACATCAGGTTACGGGTGAGATGAGCAGCGAGATTCCAGCAGCACAGTTAGAGTGTCGCCCCAGCAGGCCCTCAGCTCTGGGTTGGATGCCCACTCTGAGCTCAGAGCAGCTGATACCCACTCCTGAAATAGAGCACTTTATTTAAAGACCTTTTAACGTTTGCCTCCAGGACTGGTCATTGTGTGCTGTGTCTAAAGCTACCCTCTCATCCTCATTGCATCTCTGTGTCTTCACCTCTGGTCTCATCAGCAGGCTTTTTTTGGTTTGGCATTTCCTGGCATCCATCAGGAGGACAGGGAAGATAAACATGCCTTTAGTTGTTTGTAGTTGTCAGCAATAACGCTTAGAGGTCTGACAAACACAGCAAAACAAACCCGACAGTGTCGGGTTCAGGTTTATTTGTGTACTTGAGCAGATTGCCAGTGCTACAAAGACATCTAAGCTTGTCAGAACTGGGGTGGATCAATATATTTCTCATTCTTATTTCTCCAAAAGGATTTTGTTTCATTCATGCTAACCCAGCTTTTAAACACAGACACCCAAAAATGTTTCCTGGAGCATTAAAATTTATATTAGTGTCCAGTTCATTATTATGACCAATTAAAAACACAACAATTTAATAATATGTTTTTTGACACTAACATACAGGGTTTCTCCTAAAACATTTCTAAAACTTTTTTTATTTAAGCATATTCTATACTATTTATGTCTATGAATACAAATGTCTTTATTGCTACAATTTGATATTAAAAACTATTCAGAAAAGCTTCATTTAGTAAATCGAACCATAACCACACTACATCTACAGTACATCCTCTCATTTACTGTAATACTGGTTTCAGATATGGTGGAAATGCCAAGGTGGTCCATTTCCTGGGGAAGACCAAACCATGGGATTACACATTTGATCCCAAAACCAAACAGATTTCAGGGAGTGAGCAGGATGCTGCCACACACCCTACTTTCCTTCTCAACTGGTGGACCCTATACTCGGGTGATGTGGTCCCCATGCTGCATGAGGAGTATGGAGAACAGCCCTTCCACTCAGGATGTGTGGAGGTAAGTCGACATTTTAATTGAACCTGCACTATTTGCGACTTCTCATCAGGTATTATCTTTAAAACAGAGCTGTTTCCTTATTTTCTGTATAGTTACAAAGGCGGATAGTTCATAAGAAAAAGACATACTTTTGTTGCTATATATTTCTAAAGGGGTCACCATAGATTTTACACCACATAGTCTGACAACCATTTGATGAACCCCTGAGGCTGGGTGTGTATGTCCTCCCTGTCTTGAACCTAAGATCGTTTGCAACGAATGCACAAAACTACAACCATGGAGTCACTGGATAATTCATAACAAATGGCTAAAATAGCAAGGTCAGCATATGTGTAAGTAATCCCTGAGAGCCAAAAGTTGAGGCTTCAGACTGCTCGAAATGCTCTCAGATGTGAGCAAGAGGATCTATCCCTAATATAGTCATCTCAGACATACAGTCCCTCCCACCTGCTGATCTTTTTCAGATCCTTTGCCTGCATGGGGAAGCCAATCTCAACAGATTTAACTTAAGGGAGCTAAAAGATCCTCTTTCAGACAGTTTATGAGCTGAAACGCTCCAGTATAAATTTATAGCCATTATTTTGAACTTTGAATGATGCAAAGCTATTTAAACCTCTTTTCTGTCTTCTTATTCATCTCACAAAGTTCCAGCACAGTGAAACTGTCACTTTTGAGAGTGAACAGGTATGGAGACAAAGATTTGTTTTGTTTTTTATAGCTCAGCAGTGATTAAGCATCCGTTAGCGCCTGGTTTATTGCTGTTGCTGCCCTTCCTCTAAAATCAGAGCTTTCGCGTGTTTGCCTGCTGCCATTAATTTGGAAAGGCTAAGTGTGGCAGTTTGCCGCTTCCAAAAAGCAAAAAAAGGAAAAACAGCATGTTGTGTGCAGTCTGCGTGTCTTGTCATTTATTCATTTCCCTGCTGTTATGTTCCATATTCCTTCAGGGCGAGAGCAGGTCTTCGCACGCGCACGCACAGGCATCCCAATCCCAGCAGATGTCCTCAGAAGAACGGAAGCAGAAATGGGAGCAAGGTCAGGCAGACTACTTGGGAATGGACTCATTTGACAATATCCAGAGAAAGCTTGATACTTTTCTCAAATAAAGAAGGATTGGCACGGGATATTTTTAAAAGAGCACTTGCGTTCTACTTGTTGCCAAGAAAATACTGCCGAAAAAATCAGATTGCAGTTTTTCTTCCTACCTTTATTTCAACTATAAATGAGCCAAGTCCCTCTTTCCACCAGCACTACCAACTCCATACTCCAAAGACAGCCCAATTTAAGTGGGGGGAAGTAATGTGAAATTTTATGAGCGGTTTTAATTCTCTCTGCAAGATTATTATCATTCAGTTTACCCTGACACTCATATATGTTCTTCTACAGTGTGAAAAAAGGTTTATAACCGAAGTGTGCTTGTTTAAAGGTGAATATTAAAATCTTTTTTTTTCTCATGTTTATGCTTCTTTTGTAAAAAAAAACAAACAAAAAAAAGGAGATGGCAACAAGAGATCAACTGGGCCATTTGTATCGGTGTGGTTAAGATGTGTAGTCACTGACATTGTCATTTTTCAGTTTATTCTTTCCTTTTTTTACTCTGCAGTAACCTGACAGTCTTCTTAATATTTTCTTTTCTCAAAAGAATTAATTCTATTGTTTTTGAATTAGAAGTCTCTGTTTTACACGGATATGAAGATATGTTTACAGCACTTCTCAAGGCCGTAGTATGGTCAGTGAGCCATGCACACTAGATCTTTAGTGCCTTAATGCCTTGCTCTCTCTACTGCTGTCATCCTATGTTATCTCACTCTTGACCAGCAGCTTTTTTAGTAGATGAAACAGGTTTGTAATTTTACCACATTATACTTGACCTGGATGTTGGCTGAAAATCTTTTATCTGGAAACAATAAAACATCCTTACAAGCTGTGGAGTTGCTCAGGTGCTTTTTTTTCTTGTTGGAATTTATATTATCTTTATATTATCCTAGGAAATGGGAGCTATTTATTAAAATGTGCAAACGTAAATGCAGATACAGTAAATTTTTTCTTCTTCTGTTATCCTCCACCAGTTTCCTCAGATTTTTTTAAGGACACACTGCACAGCATGCTCAGATTTGCCTTTTTTGCCAAAGGCTACTTGGGAATGATCTTGTTTATGCAAAAATGCTATTTCATATCTGTTAAACTCTTATCTTTGACATTCTTCATAGATCCAACTACAGAAATGTGAATAAAGGATTTGTTTTTATGGGGTGGCTGTAGCGCAGGTCACCTACTAATCTGAAGGTTGGTGGTTTAATCTCCGTCTGCTCCAGGCTGCATGCTAAATATCCTTGGGCAACATACTAACCCCAAGTTGCTGAAAGTGTGTGGATGAGAGATAAAAAGCACTTAAACCGAAACTTAGAAAAATGTGCTTGTGCAAGTGGATGAATGGGGCAAGTTGTGTAAAGTGCTTTGAGTACTTATACATGCATACTTCTATGATAAGTTGTCTCTTAGTTGTAGAGACATCACTGCCTCATCCTTTGAGTTAGGTGCCGTTTCCATTCTTGAATGAAAAAAATTCCCCCGAAAATAGTCCAGTGCAAGGCTGCCCCCCCTTTTTGTGCATATTGTGCCATGCTAAATGAGAATATACCTAGGCTTCAAAGTGTGCTTGCTCATTAATGTGTAATGATAAACGAGTCTTTTTATATACCTTTTATATAAGCGAGGGAGAAATCTCTTCAAAGCAAATATGCTTTATGTCAAGAAACTTCCCTCCGTGTTACTTCCGGTTCCGTCTCAATCCCGATGATAGCCAGTGTCCTGTTTTTAGAAACGGAACATTGACATGTAAAATATTAACGTAAAGCATAAAAAAACACACCTCATGGTGACTTTGCAGTGAGAGCTTAATCCTGATACATAATGGCTGGACAGTGCTTAAGTCGGGGGCTTGTTCGTGGATCTCGGCCCGAAGTTGGTTCGAGCGACACTTAACAGCTTGCCACACGACACCACACGGTATAATGGTTACTTAGCGACGTCGGTTAGCCGAAAACACGATTTTAACCTGCAACCGGATGCTTTGCGGCTACTTTTGCGGTTACACATTACAACAGGGGACTTCCCTATCCCGTGGCTTGTCGCTGCAGTGATACAGGGGGCGTGCCGCCCGCCCGTGGTGACGGCTGTAAAGCGGACCGCTACGCCAGGAAAGCAAACACACCATTCCGACAAGATGGCCTCGCTGCCCGCGCTCCGAGCGGTACTCCTGGTGGCTCTTTCGGTTTTCCTCACGGTGGTGCTGGGTTTTGGACTCCCTGCTCTGCTGAACGCGTTCATGAGGATGCTGGGGTTGCCAGAGACGAGCGTCACCGAGTGCATAGTTGCATTGTACGCAGTTTTTGTGCTGTACGTGGCGACGCCTCGAATTCCAAGAGGACTGGTGGAGGTAATGTCACAACAAACACGGGGATTAATCGCTGGTTTGCATTTTATCAGGCAAAACATTGAAATGGAACACAGATGTCAGTGAAACGTTGTAAAATGCAAAATTAAGGCTTGTAACTCGCAGAAAATCCTTTACAAGATACGCTACAGTAATGTGGGGTGGGCAATATAAGTTTGTTTATACTGTAACAAACTGTACAGAGAGTTTGCGTTCACTTGGAAATATGCGTGTTTTTGTAAGCATTTTTTCTCTAATTTGCATATAATGTTAATTGTGTGTTTTGGGGGAAACTGTACTGTACCCATCTCTGTAGGTGAAAGGGAAAGCCGTGCTTATTACAGGCTGTGACACTGGATTTGGTTACGCTCTCGCCAAACATCTGCACAAACTTGGCTTTACAGTCTTTGCCGGATGTCTTCTCAAGGTAAGGATGTTGCTCATCGAGTCTGCATTTTTCCCTGATTTGCAAACAGGAAGTGAGCAAAACGTTTTCCAAAAAATCTCCCATTCCAAGGAAGATGTGCTATCGATTGCACAGCTTAGCTGGAAATCAAGAACAACATGGCCACAAATCCCACCCACATGAAAATCAGAATGATCATTCCCTACCTATGTCCTTCGGGAGACCTGTTTTCACACTGTAAATACACCTTGAAACATGTGCTTTTAAGATAAGATATCCTAAGCTTATCTCAAAAGCAACAGATGTCGGCAAATTCAGCCTTTGAAAAAAATGGGCGCTTCTTTAGTTGTGACCTCTGAACTTTTGTGGGAGGAGTAAAATAATAATAATAATAATAAACCATCCACAGAGCATTGTTTTACATGTGTGGCACAAAGTGATTTACTTAAGGAACAAACGAGCAGATGATAACATCAAGCACAAGAATGATAAGCATAACAGTACAGTGTAAAATGTCAGCAACAGCATGTTAGCGTTCTAGTAGAAAATTAAAAACAGATCAGTAATGGGCTCTTCAATAAATGTCTGAACAGGGGATTTAAGACTCTGCTGACCTTTATTTTTGCTTAAGGATCTCATTTCATACCTTCAGGGCTCTTTGCCACGTTTAGTTTTCACTTGTGCCTAACAAACAGATAATAATTCTTTGAGCTGGCAGTAACCCAGGCAACAGTAACCCAGATATTCACTTGTCACAACCAAGGTATGCAGAAGAGCATCTCTGCTTGTATAGTTTGTCATACCTTGAAACAGATGGGCTGCAGCAGCAGAAAGCCAAACCAGGTACCACTCCTGCCCGCCAAGAACTGGAAAAAACATTTATACTGAAGGCACAAAAAGGTTTTGATGCTCTTGCTCTTGTTAAAAGCACTGAAGCTGATTGAACTGAGACCTCTTATGCCGAGGCCGTGAGTTTAACTAATGTCCCCGCTTACAGGATAAAGGTGGAGACGGTGCAAAGGAGCTTGAGGAACTTCATTCAGATCGAATGAAGGTCGTGCAGCTGGACGTGTGCAATGAAGAGCAGGTCAACAAGGCAGTGGACCACTTCAGGGAGATCCTGGGTGAATCTGAAGCGGGTAGGTCGCTCGGTAATCAAATAGATCCCACATAAAAGAAGTCGACTTTACTCATACATTTCATTCTCTCTGACTTTCTCCTGCCCAGTTCTCTGGGCTGTAGTGAATAATGCTGGTGTGTCAACGTTTGGAGAGGTCGAATTTACCTCCATGGACACCTACAAGCACGTGTCAGAGGTCAACTTGTGGGGCACCATCAGGGTTACTAAAGCTGTTTTGCCGTTAATCCGCAGGGCGAAGGGTAAGCTGCATTTTGTTCCCTCCACTCTGTGACATATAAACAGGAATCAGTTACACAGTGTCCAAAATAACGGCGCCAAAGTGCAAAAATTTGAAAGATACATCCGCCTTTGAGTGAGCTGTGAAGAGTTATAACAATTCAAACAAGGCTGGAAGTGAAAGAACATATTAACACATTATATAACCTTTGTTATATAAACCCTTCAATGCTGATAAGCATATTTGTACTGAACATTCCTGAAAGTGGTTTCAAGTATTAAGATCCACAATTATAAATGAATATATAAAAACATTACTATAAAATAGGAATAAATTATGTTTTGAAGTAAAGCAAAAAAAACAGTGTTATCAAAGTTGTGCTGAAGAAAAAAAGAAAAGTTTGCAGACGCTAACAGAACAGCAGCTCTGTTAACAAGTGTGTTATGAGTGACTGTTCAACAGTGAGAGGCCGTTATTTGCTGAGCTAAGCAAATAGCCAAGAAATGTTCCTAAAGACATCTGAACTCTGGACCTGCAAGCCTAGCAGCTTTAAAAGTGCACTAAAGGCTCTTAATTCACTTTTGAATTATGATGCATTTATTTGGAGAATCTAAAATCTGTCCCCTTGTATCTCTTGACCACAGGCCGTGTCGTGAACGTGGCCAGCATGTATGGAAGGATGGGCAACATCATGAGGTCACCGTACTGCATTTCCAAATACGCCGTGGAAGCCTTTTCTGACTGCCTCCGCTACGAGATGAAAGCGTGGGGCGTAAAAGTGTCCGTAATCGAACCGGGCAACTTTATTGTGGCCACTGGCATCTTGACCCGCGACATCGTGGCTACCACGGCCAATAAGCTGTGGAGCGAGGCGCCCTCGGAGGTGAAGGAGGATTATGGGAAGACCCACTTCGAGCAGAACATGGCTCTGATGCGCTCTTACTGCAGCAGCGGGCAGAAGGATACGGTCTCCGTGCTGGATGACATTACCGATGCCATCATGTCCAAGCGTCCTCACACGCGCTACAGCCCCATGGAGCCGCACTGGTGGATCAGAATGCAGGTGATGACCCACCTGCCGGGTGCCATATCTGACCTCCTTTACTTCTAGAAGAGAAGCTGTTCCTGTGTTTAGCTCACCCTGAGAATCAGATAGCTGAAGAATATCACACTAAGTAGCAGTTACACAGATCTACAGACTAAGTGGGGTTCCTGCCATTTGGCCCTCAGCACTTGAAATCATCTAATGATCAATCAAGCCTTAACAATATATATATATATATAAAAAAGGTTTTGTAAATTGTAAGTAAATTATTGCACTTTGCTTTTCATGTGTCTGGCAAGAAGCATAACTTTATCTATACAGATATTCTCTGTTGAGTAGTAACTACTTTGTGTTTGGTATCAGCAGAGCCAAAATCTACTCATAGCTATAAGCGCTGCATCCTTATCCCGTGCTGTGGTAAAAATCTTTTTAAAAAAAATAGTTTCTCCTTCTAGCTCTAAATATTTTTTCCCAAATACTTGTAACGTTTTTCCTTATGGGAATCTTGTGGGGCCACCCCATTGGCACGAGGACCAACGCTGGCTCAGGAGAAAGCTCCTGCTGCTCTTCTATAGCAGACAGTGGAAAAAACCAGGGTCAGCTACTGTAGGACCATGGTGAGATTTTGGCCTGGCTTGGTCCGACGTTGCGTAACAACAACACAATCACACTTTGTCTCTCGTGCTCCAAACCATCCTGCGTGAAGGGGTTTTGGAGCACGTCAGCACCGAGGTCTTTTGATGTGATAAATGGGTACGCTGGACTGAAAAAGCCCCCCCCCCCCCCCTTGTAACCTCCCCTCCCTTCTCTGATGACAAAGTATTTTGTATATGGAATGATCCAAATAAAAAGAGTATTATATTTTAAAATATTACAAGCATGGTGTCCTTTTATTCCCACCCAAATAAGTACGAAAGACTTTCTTTTAATATTGGTTTGGGTTGTTAGGACTAGTAAATGTAATATTACTAAAGGCCACCAGGTGGCAGGAATGAATCATTTAAAAATCCCACAGCTTTCCTCATGCAATAGTGTACTGCCGTTTAAGCTGTAACCACACTGCGCTGGGTTAGGGTCATACAGTTTGTGGCTTCATACATCACCTGTTTTGTCCCAGACTGAGCAAACGACAAGATTAAAAACAGACGGGACCATTTTTATGCTGTTTATTACGTCTTTTGAACACTCTAATAGACTCTTCTAAATTATTACACCTGAAGACAATCTCCCCTCCATAAAAACAGTATTAAGAGCATGACATTAAATTTTCACAGCACTGCCTTTATCATCCGTTTTCTTCACTCTCGTACAGGAAGGGGGAGGGAAAGAAAAAGGGGGGGAAAAAAAAAAGCATTGTGAGTTAAAGACCACCATAGAAATGTAAGCAGCACAAAGCACCAAAGATTAAATACCAGAGCCACTTGTTCTGAATATTATCAAGAAATCCATGAAAATAATAATAATTTAAAAAAAAAAAAGATCTCAGGCTAGTTGAGCAGTCAGGAAGAAGCTTCTGCTGCGCTGTAGTTTTCCATCTTTAATAGTTTGATAGACAATCTCTTGATAATATCAGTCACAACTGACTTCAGCGGGGTTTTTTTTTTTCCTGCAGATTTCAAACCATTTTCTGTACAGCTACGAGGCTCTGCTCATGCGGCCTCCATTCTTGTAAAGTGAGAAAGATCCCATTAACGATATCTAAGCATGGAGATACTGTAGTTCTGCATTGGAATATCAAGTAAAACGTTTAGGTACTCGGGATTTTTTTTGCTTTTTTTTCCATATTTAAGTGGCTAAACTGGAAAAGTGGATGTCTTAACACTAGTTTTACATACAGACATTAAAAAAAACAAACTATATCCTTAGAAACCGTGACAGTTTCTCACAACCAACAATAATGTGATACCGTTACTTGAGGTGCTTCATACATGGAGATTCAGGTCATGATTACATCACACCTGGTGTTACGTTTCTGAATGAACATCAGCACATAGTTTCATACTGTACAATGTAGGCATTCACTTATGTTATACTTGATTAAAATCAGCTACGGTAAGGTCACTTGAAACTACACACAATATCAACTAATGGGCATTTTATGCAGGAGATTTAAAAAGAAAAAAAAAAAAAAAAAAAAGTCAGACAATGACATTTTCAGCCTGCATCACCAGGAAATGCTATTCCCTATAAGGAAGGACATCCCAAAACATCGCTCACTAATCACTTAACTGACGCGCATGCAAAGCTTTAACCAAATACGTCGCAGCGGAGAAGTGGGAAGCACAGGATAAAGACATAAGAATAAAAGGAGGTTTGGGGGGAGCGGTTACTAAACCTTTGGTAGACAAAAAAAAAAAGCCAAAAAAAAAAAAAATTGTGAAGGCACATTTTTAAATCCCTTCCTCAATTCTTCAAACTGGGGCACGTTGCGTTGGCGTTGCGTAATATTGCAGGATGCTTACAGAACTGAAAGTTAGGGAGGGCATTTTTGCCAAGAGTGATTCAAAGTGTAGGGAAATGCTGTTTCACGTAGAGCAAAACGGCAGCTGTACGACAAACAGCCACTGATCTGGGTATAATAAAGGAAATGTGACAGAATCCATATGACCCACATACTGATCTAGTGACTGAAAATGAAGCACAAACAGGCACTAATTGTCCCTTTAACATCGTGACATAAAAATAGTTTGGGACCCAAAAAAACAAAATCACTCAAGCCATGCTGACACTTTAAACCACACATTCAGAGATCCCTCCAGAAGCCGTGCACTCCTGGAATGTTTTCCTTTCCTGCCTTAAACGTTTAAATAAGACATAATCCGACTTCAATTCAGATTTCAAGTGGTGCAGTGCAGGTTTAAAATTGGCGCTTGCACTTTTCACCCATCATAAACCGAACTGAAAGCCGATTGTTTCACTGTTTAGAATTCATCTTATACAAGTCCAGGACAGAGGAAAGTCTGCTCACAGCTCTCTGTATGAATAGCTCAGTCAATCACCTGGGGAATGGAGGGAGGGGAAAAAAGGTTCACACCCATGTTTTGTGTTCTTTGTGGCATGACTGAATTTTTTTTTTCATGCTTGGATTAACTAGACCTCCAGAACCCTCCCATCTCAACTCCTTTAGTCTCTGCTATGATATAGCAACAATTTCCCTGCCTGGGTATGCGATTCCAGATACTCTTATCCAATGGAAAAAAAGTCTCAGTCTCCTCCTTTGCTCCTGATTCACCTCTTTTTTTCTTTTAAATGTCCGTTTTCTCCCTTTCCTCCTCCTTCCTCTCTCTCCCTGTACTCGGGTCCAACTGGCCACAGCTGGAGAACTCATCATCGCAGGCATCGTGATCATCATCATCGTGATCGGCGTCTCCCGGAGCACACTGCTGAAGCGGCCCCCCGCCAACACTGCTGCAGCTTTGATTGCAGGCAGCACGCAGCGGCACTAGCTGCCGCACAACATTCAACAACTACTTGGTCCACTTTCACTCAAAAACAGCCATTCACTAGAAGTCCTTCACTGTAAATATAAACCATGTGTGCTGCTGAAAGCATTCAGACATACGGACATTGAACATACATTTGGTAAAACCAGCTTAATGTCCCAAAGTTTGACTGCACGTACATTTAAAGCAGCTCTTAGGATACATTAATCAAAAGAAAACAAGCACTTTCTTTATCATTTCTTCAGCATAAGGAATTGTTCTCCGACAACCCCAGTGCTGGCTTAAGCTCGACGTGTACGCTTTGCAACCACACAAACGCGACCCCTGGGTAACCCTCAACTCCTCCATTCCCTCCAGTGATCACCAATTCAGGGAGCAGTGACATCATCCCTCCCAGCCCTCCATTTTTCCTCAGAGCTCCGGCAAACCAGCACTGTATATATTTTTGGAAGCCGCGCAGTTCACCCTGGCTCACCTCACTGCCGTCCATCTCCATCCCCTTTGGCAACACTGAAGACACATCTGCTGTCACCCACACACTGGGCTGGGGGTGGAGGAGAGACCCAGGAGGGAAAAATACTTTGAGTCTTCACATGACCTTTATATGCAAAGATAAACTCCCCGTCACCCCTGTGGACTGTCTCTCCCTCTCCTGTCGGAGCTAGGCGGAAGGTGTTAGGACACTATTCGGTTTGTGTGCGTCCATGCAAAGTTAGAGGATTTAAAACCCCTATCTACGCTGCCTCGGTTTTGTAACATTCACGTGATACAGATACAGCAATATGTGAGACAAGCAATACTGTTGTACAAAGGAAGACCACTATATAGAGAGTTTGACCTTTTACAATAAGAGGAAACCTTGAAATCCTTAAAAAAAAAAAAAAGAAAATGCACAGTGTGATATTCCAATCTCTACAACATTGATCATTACAGAATTGTATCAATAAATATATTTTGGTCACTTCATTTTTATTCGGGATTAGCAGAAGTTGTGTATTAGTTTGTCCACAGCCACAAACAGCGCCTTAAGACAGACAAAAAGAAATAAGCTATAGGCTCGGCTCTCGAGTTTGCTAACATCTGAAAGAAAATGCCTCAGTCAGGTGTTGGTTGTATAATGTGTAAAGTTAAAAAAAAAAAAATCACATTTTTAAAAGAAACCGTTAAAAAGATTATATATTATCAACAACATCAACAACAACAAAAAAGGAAAAGACAACTAAATGCAATAGATATCAAGGTGGAAATAACCATGGCATTGCCTATGACCTAGCACATCTGGATAATTTAAAATAGGCAACCAAGAGGTCTGTAGTTACTCTCAGGAGTCCACCTTCTTGCCGTCTCCCTCCTCAATGTCTCTCCCATGCTTTTTTACCCCACACCTCCTCTTGGAATGCTCACAAATCTGTGACAAATCACATATCATTTAAGTCCTGATGATGTGTTAAGTCTTCAGGCTTGGAGCTGAAATGTTAGTGTGTGTTCTCGTGTAAGTATCTGTATTATATGTTGATGAAAATAATGTGTAGAGGTGTGTGTGTGTGTGTGTGTGTGTGTGTGTGTGCGTGCATCACTGTGTGAGACAGATGGATCAGGAAGCAGCCAGGGCTTTAATCAGGTACAGTTTGTCTCCCTGCTCACTGGTGAAGATGGGAGCCTTTTTGTAGTGTTCAACAAGCTCTTCCATAGAGTTGAACTTGCGCTGTCCGATGCAGTAAAGGTTGTCCTTCAGCTGCACTTTGAAATGCTTGTTCTTGCTCTGCGCCTTCAGGGAGATGGAAAAGTCGTT